AGCAAGGGTCTTGGCAAGACCCAGAAAAAAATTTTTAGAGAAAAAATATTATTAAAAACAGACCTGTATCATTGCCGTCTTCTTTGGTCAACGAGGAATCTCGAAAAGGGTGGGCAAACCCCGAGCATGCTTATTGCTTTCCAACTCGCTGAATGACGTAGAAAGGGGGAAATTACGTCACTGGGAAATAGCCAGTGTAAAGTGACTGACCGTTGGCAAAAAAACCTGACTCATTGCAAAGGGGGGTAAAATGTGTTGAAAAAGCGGAAAATGTTCGAAATGGCGTCTTGTCTTAGTAGTTTGACGAAAATTGGACTGGGTGAAAGAGAAAATGGCTAATTCAACAAAATATTACCTAAAATGGCCACTAAAGTAGCAGAAATAAAGAAAAATAGTAATTTGTTAATTAAAGTCGTAATTCTTCAAGCTAGAGGGACGTTCAAGCTGCCAGAAACAAAATAGCCCATAAGTTCAATAACAAGAATAGAATTAGCCAGCAAATGTTTAAAATCTATTTAAAAATACAATTAAAAGTAATGTGTCAAATTTTAAGAGGAAAAATAGACATAGTGACAGGGAAGTTATTTGTGCATTTATGCATTAGATCTTCAGAATCAGCCATCCACTTTATACCGTCCCATAGGGCTTTAAGCATAAAACTTCATTATCTAATTCAAGAAAATCTAAAAAATGGTAAGGTTAATGCCAGCTTTTTTTAACGTATTTTTAATTACTTTTTGAGGAATTAGGTTATTTTTCAATATTGTGACAAAGTATAGTACTTCTTCTTGAAGGTGTTTTGTTGTAATGCAGATTTTTTTAATTCTAAGCAGCTGTGAGTAAATTGTATTGAGGATGACTCTTTTAGAAATATTGGAATTCCAGTTGGTTAATTAAAGTGTTGAAAAGTTGAATTCTCTTCGTTTATCATAGACTTTCAAAAGATTGTAATCTATAATATGCAAATCTAAGTAGACTATATCATGTTGCACGGTATTTGCAGTATTAAGTTTTAGGCATTAAGGGTAGATATTAGCATTTTCAATCTTGTTGAAGTTGTTGAAGGCTATTACATCATCAATATATCTAAAGATGTGTTGGTATAATTTATGATCTTCCTTTTTGAGTGAACGTATAAAAGTCAATTCTTTTGTAAAAAGGAATAACTCACAGACACCACTTGAAAAATTGCCCCCATAGGAATTCTCTGTATTTGTTTAAATATGTTGTTATTGAATTGAATATAATTATTGAAAAGTACGCATGAAAGAAAAAGTTGCCATTTTTCAGCATTTAATATTGTAGAAATTTGGGGAAATAATTCAGGAAGAGCAAGTAAACTTTTATAAGTTTCTTCAAGTGGCAAAGTAGTATAGAGGTTTTCAAAGTCGTAGCATTGGATATGTTCTATTTTAAGTGTATTTAAGGTTATTAGAATATGTTCGTTACTTGAAATCATCCAGTTCCAATGTAGATCATAATTATTAATCATAATTATTAATGAGGTCACGTATGAGATGAAGATTTTGTGCAAAGAGATGATAGTCTATTTCCTTTAGATAACTTTTGGTGCTATTGGCAATGAACCTAAATTTGACCGGAGTCTTATGAAAGTTTGGTAGTGCATATAGTAGTAGCAGTAGATTAGTGCATATAGTAGTAGCAGTAGATTAGTGCATATAGTAGTAGCAGTAGTATAGTAGTAGTAGTAGTGCATATAGTGTTATTATATTTGCGAGGACGGATTTTAAGCTTTTTATGAAGTTCATTAAATTTATTGAGAAGAATCTTAGTGCTGGTAGTAATCTTTTGATACGTGCAAGCGCTATTCAATTCTTTATGCAGAAGTTCGAAATAAAACTTTTTTCAAATGACACTAAAATTGTTGTTTCTAATTAACTACTTGTTTTAAACTTTAATTATAAGATTGTATCATTTTTTATCTTCTTATGATTTTGAATTAAATTAATATGTTTACTTCTGTTTTTGAATTTGAAATGAGAGTGTAGGGAATATGTCTTCTAAGGTAAGCATCTGGTTCAGATTAATTGTGTTCTTAACAGAAATTTTAATTTTAAGATTATTTGCTATTTTGTTTAATAAGATTCTATAGGCTTAAATGGACTAATGCCTTTATTTGGATTGAGTATTAATTGTGACGTATGGTTTGAATCTAGCAAACAATTTGATGCTTACTTGGAAGTAAGATGAAACACTCTTAATTTAGTTGTTGTTAATTGATGGTAAACTGGTTTATCCCCTTAATAAGTCGATTTATCTGCGATTAATGACAATAACAACTTTTTCAATATTTAAAATTTACTTTTGGTATTTTTACGATTAAAGATTTTTCATACCAAATTTTTAAACAAGAAGTTGAAATTACTATTTAAAATACTAATTTAAATTCTGACAAAAACATTTTTTCATTCATGATTTTAAATTGAGTTTGTGTTCCTTGGAGATGGTATATGGAAAGTTTTCTTATTATAAATAAGTATGAATCATTGGTTTATATATATATCCTTTATACGATGCAAATAGTTTATTTCTAGAATTTTCTAAAAATTCGGTTTCAACCATTTGCATGAAAAAAGTACACTTTTAACGAAAGGTTTAAAAAAAATGCCTAAAAGGAACGATTTTTGATGTTCACATCGCGAACACTTGGCAGAAGAATAAAAAGACCTGGAAATCACACAATCTTTCTTGCCACCTGCAGAAAGGAAAATTGGAATTCAGAAGGTCTCAAATTCCCCAACGTCTCATTTAGTCTGGAGAAAAAACACGTAAACGAAACACATATTTGCTTATGTGGTAAGCTTATTATAAGCTCCATTCCCTAGACTACGGATTTTTTTTTTATTTCTTTATTTACAGGGTGATTATAATTAAAGTTTAAGTTTCAAAACGCTATAAAAAAGAACCACTGATGAAAATGATGTGAAATTTGAAAGGAATGTTATTGAAGAAAGCGGAAAGCGTATGGCAGAAGAAAAAATTTAGTTTCAAAAGTTAGCAACATATGGCGCTGTAAGCGGCAGAATCACGACGAGAAATGATTCGTAAAACAACGGCTAAGGTGGAAGTTACACATTAAAACGCATTGACAAATTAGAATTGTTGAATATTTTATTTGCATGACTGTACATATCACATCGAAAGGGACAAATCGGTTTCAAGAGTTTTGCGCGACGATACCGCATAAGAACCATTCATCAAAGAAGTTCGGAACTGGCGCAAAACATGTTCATTATGGTGTCCACCGTTGTGTGCAACAAGTTGAAAGCGACAAACAGCATGTTCCACAACGAATCGCAATGTCTCCGGGGTGATGTTCAGAATGCGTTGCGAAATGCGTGCCTTTAATTCCGCTAAATTTGCAATTGGAGCATGGAACACAACATCCTTCAGATATCCTCACAGCCAGAAATCACACGGAGTAAGATCAGGCGATCGGGATGGCCAGTCTGTAGGGAAATGACGGCTGATAATTCGAGCATTTCCAAAATGGCGCCTCTGCAGCTGCTTCACGGGATGTGCAATGTGCGGAGGAGCGCATCTTGCTTAAAAATGATTTCATCCACACATCCACGCTGTTGCAGAGCTGGAATCACGTGGTTGTGCAAATGAGACGCATATCTCTGATCAGTGACGGTTGCGGTAACAGGACCGGAAGCACCCGTCTGCTCGAAAAAATATGGTTGTAGGATGAATGATGCCGTAAAGCCACACCATACCGTGACCTTTTAAGATGAAGTGGTACGGGGTGCGTTGCCAGTGGATTTTCTGTTGCCCATATTCGACAATTCTGGGTATTCACGTATCCTGTCAGATGGAAATGGGCTTCATCTGTCCACAAAATTTTCCACGGCCATTCATTATCCACTTCCATGCGAGCCAGGAATTCTAACGCAAACGTCTCCCTAGCTGTCAAGTCAGACGGAAGCAACTCTTGCACATGGCCAATTTTGTACGGATAGCATTGCAGGATGTTTCGTACAATTTTCAGCAGTGTGCTCGTAGGCCTGTCCAGTGTTCCGGGCAATTCCTCGTGCATTGCACGGTTGCACACCACCGGCCGACCCCTCCTGTAATGCTGTGACCACTTCTTCAACTACCGTCGAATACACTCGTTTTCTCCCTCTACCAGATTGCACATCAAACGAACCTGTCGTTTTCGAATTTTTGCATTCATTTTCTTTAGATCATACGACACTCATTGGACCAACGCCTTCTTCTATATCCTTTCAGTGTCCTGAATTTTTGCAGAAGCTACTCTTGCACAATCGTCATTCTTGTAATACAGTTTACCAGCAGAGCGCGGTCCTGCAATGAAACACTTATGGCGAACGTCTGAGACGCGAAATAAGGAACAGCCTGTTACCTGCTGGCGGCTTTATAAGACTGAAATTTAACTAACATTTTAATTTACGTCTTCTTCCGCTTGCAGCGCCATCTGTTGCTAACTTTTGAAACTTAAATTTTTTCTTCTGCCATACACTTTCCGCCTTCTTCAATAACATTCCTTTCAAATTTGACGTCATTTTCATGAGTGGTTCTTTTTTTATAGCGTTTTGAAACTTAAACTTTAATTATAATCACCCTGTATATTTCTTTCACTGGTGATCCGGAAGTTCGGATACTGGACATCCGGATTTCAGACATTGTACTGCATTATGTTTCATTTGAAATTTAGTTAAACTTTTGTTTTTATTTACTTTTTATTTACTTTTATTCTAAAATATTACCTTAATAACTACATTGAATATTATAATATTCGAAATAATTTTTCTTTCATAAAGTAGAAAAAGTTTAAAGTTACGTTATAACTTAAGCTATTTCCCAAATTTGTTTATGTCTTGTAAAGGCTAATCTTTTAATAACTAATAGACGAGATTTACTTGTTAATTTCTCTGTGTCATATGGCGTTGAAAAACCAATTAATATTAATTCACATTTTTCTTAATCTTTTGGCTAACTTTACGTTTTTTCATTAGAAACACCAAGCAAGGATTCTGATGACATAGTTGGTGGATACTGGGCTAGAAACTACTTCAGATGTCCACTTCCATGGGGTAATTTTCCAGATCCAGATGACTGTTCTCGCTATTACACTTGTGCTAGAAACAGGGCCAGCCACCAACGATGCAAAAGAAACATGCATTTCGATGTATTCAGAAAAACTTGTCTGCCGAGATTTGTAGCAATTTGTGGCTCTGACAAAGGTGCAGTTTTGTTTTATCCTTTTAATGGTATTAGAATTAATACAATGAAAACTTTCATTCTTATTTCTTATGTTAGATAAGTAATCAGTATTATTTAGGATACTGCAGTCAGTTTTCATGAGCAATTAATTATACTTAATAAAGAAAAGAAGACTGAAAATTTTAAAAATTTGGGCGTTATCTTCATGCAGCTTTAACGAAACATCAGAATTTTTGGATAAGAAAGATTATAGGTTACACTTAATTTGATAATGCTAATTTAGTCCTATAACCTTAACAAACATGAAACGAATCATCGTTATGTCTGAAAACAATGACAAAGTCTTGAGAAAGTTAAAATAAAATTTTTATTTAAACAGAATTTAGACCATACGTGCACTATCCTGTGCTACAATGGTCACAACTCGTGGTAAACTCGCAAAAATAAATCGAGCAGTCCAATTTAAATCAAGCGTTGAATAGCAGTCAAGGACTACACAATTAAATACTGTATTTGAAGCTGGCTTACTAACTCACCGGAGCATCAGAATTAAAGTGTCGGGAGCGAAAGGCTGCAAAGCTGAATAATTACAACTAATAGAGCTGGCAGGAACTAACCACGTAGCCCGTACTTGATGCCAGACCACAATCTTTCTTTCAAATACTAAATATAGCTTTCCAGAGACAATAGGATTTTTGGAAGGAGAAAAGATAAAAAATTAGCAACGCCTTTGCCAGGAAGCGAACCACGGACCTCTGAAATACCGGCTCAGTGTGCTGACTACTACACCACGAAGGCACGCTAGGAAGGTGGGAGAAATACCTTATAGCTTAAATACTATTAATTTGCATTCTGGGAATGAATATGGAAAGCGGAAGTTACAGTAAAAAAGGAAATTATAATAATTGGTTAATTAACATTGATTCCCTAAATTTTCCCCGGCGGAATTTATGTAATCTCAACCTTGTCGACCTTGCTAAGATTTTAAATTCTAAACCTACAACATGCACCAACTTTTACAATCATGAAACTAAATCATAAAATTAAATTAAAATTTTTACAGGCGTTAAATTTCGTTGAATAAAACTTTGTGAGCCTAAAATTAAATTAAAATTTTTACAGAAGTCTAAATTTCGTTGAATAAAACTTTGTGACAATTTAATTCAATCTCATCTCCTTCTACGCATCTCGAAGGAAAAAATAGCTTAAAAAATAATTCTATAACATTCATATTTTTAAATTTGCTTCTTACAGATTCATCAAAAATTTTTCTAACTTTTTGTTTCCTCTGAACTCAGTTTCCCACCCTTGCTCTCTAGTGTTGTAATATATGCAAATCCTACATGTTAATAACTTAGACACCCTATATCTTAATGACAACCTATTTCAAAACTATACTTAATGTTCTAAGCTTACTTTTCATTAAAATCTACAATGTTGAGTAAAGAGCCTAACTTTTTGAATTCATTATGCTAGCTTTTACTTCACTTCTAATCATTATCAGTTAATAGCTTTAAATTTAACCTACATAATATCGAAACACTCAACTTTAAAACATACTTCATGAAGTTAGTAAACTTACTTCATGAAAAACATTAAAATGCATTAACATTCAAACCATTACTCAATTTGCACTTACTTCACAACGTACACAAGTTGCTAATATTTGTTCTGCGACTGCGCCAAATGTTTTCTCAATAGTCTCTTCGATTAAAATCACATTATCAAGTTTATATTTAAACAAAAAAATCCTTCAAGATAATAGATGCACAGCTAAATTGTAAAAGCTTCTTGCTGAATAAAATCTAGGATGTCCTGTCTTGAGGCAAAACTCAGCATACATAGCAATTGTTACACTTTTTTTTTTTTTTTTTTTTTTTTTATGCGAAAGAGAATGTTTAATCTTTAAAACTTCATTTCCCACCTTTAAATCAACTTTCTAGCTTTTCTTGTCATAATAAAACTTTTGTCGCCATATCCAAATTTCTCGTAAATCTCTTTTGAATAAAAAAAGAGGTTTATCTAGGAGCGTAATTAAAGAAAATAGATGAATTTTGTACCTTATTTTCATTTCTTTAGATTTTTTCCACTCTTTTTCGCAGAAATTCCTGTCAAATGGAAAGTAGTCATATCATGACTACGTAGTTTCCCTCTGAGCAGTTGATTTCTTGGTTCGTCAACTGGTAGTTTACGTTTCTGGAAACTGTTTCTTATTCGTCTGATTTCGTCTAGCCTCTAGGGCGCTTGCAGGACTGGGAATTTTGGCGCAGTCGACAGCTTTTGTTATTTGATGAGTCGTTGGAAACCTCCTTTGGTACGTCTGGAATTTTAACCGTTGACCTAGGCGGTCGTTTGTCATATAAATTCTGGCTTAGTTGCTGTGTTCTTTTCCCTTCGTTGTAAACATCTCTCGTAGCTGGGCTCCTCATTCTACTTCCTCATAATCTATGCTGATTACTCCTTCGGTCGCCAGACTTTTGTACTTTTCTTTGCCATTTGGTTAATTTTTTTCCCCTGTTTTCCTGGCCCTCCGCTCTCCGTAGCTTTGCTTTATGAAGATTCGTCGAACTTACGCTTTTTTTTCTTCTCCTATTCATTCATCATTTCCAACCATCATTTTCCTTCTTTTTCTTTGCGGGTCTTGTACTCCGGACGGTAATGCTGTATCCGCCGTTTCTAGATAGTCCTTCGTTGCTCATACTTGGTGATTCCCGCGAAACATCTCGTAGCAGAAGTATATTAGCGCGCTCATAATAGCGCTTGATCTAGTGTACATTACCTTTGATGCTTTCACAAATTTGACCTTTCAGCTATACTACGGTTTCCTTTATTTGTTCAATTAAAAATGGTTCTTCACAAAACCTTTTCTTCTAACGCATCCCAAACTTTCTTTCTAGTGCATGCGAAAGAGAATGTTTAATCTTTAAAACTTCATTTCCCACCTTAAAATCAACTTTCTAGCTTTTCTTGTCATAATAAAACTTTTGTCGCCATATCCAAATTTCTCGCAAATCTCTTTTGAATAAAAAAAAAGGTTTATCTAGGAGCGTAATTAACTTTCTACCAAGAAATAATTCAGCCGATGTATTCTAGGTAGTATCATGTTTAGTTGTCCTCAAGGCAAATGAGAGATCTTTGACACAATCATCCCAACGTTAGTCATTATTTTTAAATAGCTGAGGAAAATTTTAACTATGTTTCTACTCACCCGCTTTGCAATATTCCACTGTGGTAGATAAAGAACTATCTTAAAATATTTCATGATAAGACCTATACATAGTAGGGGATTCGCTACCGGGCCGACAAACTTTCAGAGTGTACAGGGGATATAGAGACGACTCGGAATCACATAAAAATGCAGGACTCAATCATCCCAACGTTTTCGACTCGAAATCAAATAGGAACAGCAACACATTAATGGAACAGAAAACATTTTATTGAAAGGTTGTACTACAACAGGTGTTGGAAATTACGACCAGGAGTTTTCAGGCAGGTCTGACAGAGTCGCTGCATAAAATTCTTTAAGTTCTGAAACATTCCTCCGGGCAGTCTTGCAGTAGATTGCGCTGAACGGAAGGTTGCGTGAACATGACCTTCGCAAGTGTGAACAGAAGGTAATGTGAACAGAGGGTAATGTGAACAGAAGGTAGTGTGAACAGAACTGGTTGTTTAACGGGAGCTGTAATGAATCGACAGCGAACTACGAGGGCACCTGGCAATGAAGAGGCGATCTTACATCCATCTGGCAGAAGATAATCCAAGTACGAGTACTCGAGCGATAGCCAAACAAGTGGGTTTATCTCAGTCCAATGTCTGGAGGATACTCGCAGGAAACCAAATGAGTGCATACCATCATTAACGTGTCCAGTCATTAGAGCCTGAGAATTATCGACTCCGGAGGACGTTTGCTACAGGGTTTTAGCAACAGAGTGCTACAGACAGCGCATTTGCTGCGTCCGTATTTTTCACGGATGAAACATACTTCACGCGTAAGGCGTAAACATACTTCACGCCTTCAATCAGCGTAACGCCCATGTTTAGGCTTTGGAGAATCCTCATCGTACGCAACCATGTGCAGCTCAAGAGCGTTTCTTGGTCAATGTTTGGACCGGCATTCTTGGAGACTACCTTATTGGAAAGTACCTTCTACCTGATCTTCTTGCAACAAATCCTGCCCGAAATTCTTGACGCAGCACATGTTACTCCGTTTTTGCATTGTTCCATATGGTACCAGCATGGCGCAGTTCCTCCACATTACACGATTGACTTCCGCCGACACCTCGACGTAACCTTTGAACAGCGATAGATAGGTCGTGGTGGCACGGTTCATCGGCCTGACGGTTCACCGGACATATCATGCATGGATTTCTGGTGTCATTGGTGAACGAGACGCCCGTTCCTTCTGTTGAAGACCTCGTCGCTCGAATATCCGTAGCAGACGGGAAGTTACGTAACATGCCAGTAATCTTCCAGAACGTAAGGAATTCCATTCAGCGTCGCTGTCAGGCCTGCCGGACAACTTCTGGTCGCAATTTCAAACACCTGTTGTAGTACAGCCTTTCAAAAAAAAAATGTTTTCTATCCCATTAATGTGCTGCTGTTTCTTTTTTTTTTTTTTTTTTTTTTTTTTTTTTTCTGTGCTGCTTTGCACCATAGTTCACAACTACGGCATTTACGACCCTGCGTTCCTACATGATTCCAAATTGTCTCTGTACCCCCTATACACGCTAAAAGATTGTCGGTCTGGTAGCGAATCACACCGTATATCTTCAAAACTTTGACTAACGAACTGTTTCCCCATTATATGATATTATCTTAAATGTAACTCCATACTTTAAAACAAATTTATTAAATTATGAATCTGCAGCAATTTTAACGGAAGATCTTTTGAGGTGAATTATTTCTCCCCGCTTTGAGAAATTATATCTATTACGAGCAAAAATATATTTTTATTTATTTCACTACGTGAGTAGGAACCTTATAAACAAATTCTTTTTAATTCATCAGGGGACGTAGCTTTTATGCTATAAAGGCACTCGGCCGGGCTATAATTAATATCGTTAACTGACTGACAAATGTTCCAAAACTTGACATATTCCGTTAGAAATGTTTGTACCTGTGGAAAAGAAATAGCTCTGTTTTTCTTTTTCCGAGATGGCCTGAAATTGGGGCATCATGCAATTCCTGCAAAATATTTAATCTTAAACTCTAACCGGTCTTAATTCATTATTAATATTTCTTGCTTTGGAGTAGGACAAGGGCATGTCAATGATTCCATAATCTGCGACTCAGCTTCTGATACCCGCCATATCATGTTGTTCAAAGTTATCGGAATCATTCAAATACATAAAAATATTTTTAAAATTCCAGGTTGTTTGTAGTTCTGCGATAAATATTTCTTGATAATCTAAAATTTTTTTAAGTCAGCATTGCCCATTTCACTTCCTCCCACTAAGAATCGAGTTTGATTCTTGACAAAGCATTCGCTACCACATTTCTTTCCCGAGTGTATGTTTAATATTAAATTGTATTTTTGCAATTTAAGGGCCCATGAGTCTAAATGATAAATTCTTCCTGTAATACAAACAAACGACAGCCGCAGAGTCTGTATACACAGTAACTGGGGTTTTCCAAAATAAACTCGAAATTTCTCTGATGCCAAAAGGACTGCTAAATCTTTTAATTAAAGTCCTACAGCAGGACAACAAGCCTAAAAAAGGCGTCCGACTCTTTTGCTGTATTAGGCGGTGGATAATTTTTATCACTACGATTTTAGTTCTGTTTCGGTTTCCTTTGGAGATTTTTACAGCCCAAGTAATGAAGTTCTTTCTCCGCAAATTTATGTTTGGCCGCATTCGCCTTTAGACCTGCTTCTTTTAGAAGAGAAAACATCTCGTGTAAATCCAGAATATGTTCATAAATTATCTTGTTAATAATTATTATTTCATTTTAGTAAATAAACGTAGATTTTCCGAGCACACAGGTCTTAGTATATTATCTATAACTCTTTGAAACATGGCGGGTTCTTCACATAAGCCAAACGGCATTTTAAGAAAGGCATAAATTCCTCATTTGATAATAAATGCGGTTTTCGATACACTGTCTGGTTTCACACACATCTGAAAGTATTCAACGGTAAACTCTAACGTACGTCGTCATCTATTTTATAGATTTGAATTTCCTAATTATTTCGTCAATTATCCATAAGGAGTACTGGATGTTTTGTTATGCTATTTAATTTTTTATAGTCAATAGCAAAGTGCCATGCCTTATGCTTAAAATCAGTGCACGGGAGATTATTTTTTGGCACAGTATTACATGACTAATAATGCGTAATACAATTTTATTCTTCAATTTCTGTACTATGTTGCTCTAGTATTTCTTCTGTGGGAGTCTTATGTTCGCGCGCCTCCAGATGACGTCATGTTGTGTTCGTAATAACTGCCAGAGCGACCAGCGAACGCGTGCAGATTGCCCTTAGCTCGATTCTAAGGAGCAAGGATATGCAAGAATGTTCAAATACTTGTGTAGAAGTTTTTTGTTTTAGTGAATAGTTATGTTAACGTATAATTGTGTTAATGAATAGCTGTGTGAATAAAGTTATGTTTTAGCGAAGTGGAGTCATGTGTCTGAAGAGTATTCACCGAGCCATAACCCACGCACTATACTTCGGTGGTAGGGGTTTTATCGACATGGAAGGAGATTTCCACTTTCGTTTGTGTGATTTACCAACTTAGTCAACTATAGTGCATCTTTAAATAAATCTAAAAATTATTTTACCAACTGCTCCAACTTCGCTCTTTCGTCCGTATTCAATTCCTTCAAATCTAAACAGGCGGCTAAACTTCTTTTTTCTCCTGCTTATTTATTTCCACCTACACAATATCATCCTGAAAATTAGTTTTCACCCCGCAGCCTTAAAGAAATCCATCCTCAATATTACATTAGCCTGTAGATTCTTCACTGCAAAGAAAAACCACTTTCTGGTACTCATTTTTCACCTGCACATTTGATGTTACTTTCCCTACGCATCTAACCCTCTAAACAAAAATTTAAAACCTTTAGTACCACCATTACAAAGTACTACTACCACTATCACTCTTGAACAAAGCTCAGATCTCTTAAATTTACGAGTGTTAGAGAAACCTTCAATCAGGATGTTGGGATTTTAATTTTTGAATTTAATAGTTAAAAATACTTTGCTTCTTTGCGTATCATCAGTTGAGAGCCCCTGCTCTATACCTTTTAAAGTTTTTCCTAAAAAAACTTTCTACCAAAGAAATACTTTGCGTTCTTGTATCCAATAATACATCTACTGATATATTATTTAATAGAATATGAATCACTGCGAGTGACAAATTTTTACCAACGCCGTATATGACGGCTGAACACTGATGGTATGACGGCATGATGGCTGATAATTCGAGCCTGGCTCATATCCCGCCGAACGAACTGACTGAACAGAAGTTTCCGTGGTTATTCCGACATGCAATATGAGTACGAATCAATATCCCTTAGAAAGTTCTTCACGAAGGCATGCTTTTCGTACGCAGGGTAGCCCTCGTATCCTTTTCGATAATCCAATCCAATCTTCCATTTTTATTGGAAGGAATCAGCTATGGATTGGTTTGGTTGTAGAATGTTTGCTTCGACCGAGTGGGAGATTACTTGCAGTATTAAAGCCATAAAATAATTAAATTTCTATCAATGTGGATTATTTTTATTTAAATTGTATTTATTATTTAAAACATTTTTTTTTTCCTATCACAAAATTCCCTGCCATGTAAAATTAAATAACATATCAAATAAAGCCAACTCAAATAAATCCCAGTTTTGCCGCAAATCTAAATTAAATTCAAATTAAAAGCAAATTACAGTATAAGGATAATATTTTCACTAAAGGTTAATGCGAAGTTTATTATGATTTCACTATTATTTATTATTTTAAGATCTTCGTACGAGAATGTTCCTTATATTAAAATTAAACTCTGCTTATGTTCTTACTTAATAAGGAAAATTGGGAGAATATTTGTTTTAAAAATATAAGATTTTATATTTTATTTCAGTTAAAAACACAAGCAGATAATAAACTAATTATTACAGAATATAAAAATCGTTAAGAAGGGACTTATAAAATTTTCTAAAAATGTTTTCTTAAAGATGTTATTTAATCTTTAACAAAGAAAAACAAAGTAGTCTACTTTTTGAGTACGAAAGGAAAGCTCCATGATATAAAAGCAAGTTAATTTTTACTGTTTTGTAACTGCATATTTTTAATGTGGTTAGAATATTTTTTGTTTTGCCTATTGCAGATAAAACTACAGTTACTGAATCGCCGAATTGGGAAATAACTACTCCGAAAGGTAATATAATAATTTCTATTTATAATAAGAATAAATACTCCGAAAGGTAATATAATAATTTCTATTTATAATAAGAATAAAATAATCAAAATAATGCCGCAACAACGTTTCAGGTTCACCCATAACCAAGCCAGAAATGTAATCATGTTTGGAAAAGAATGACATGAAATAAAATTGAGCACGAATAAAACAATTAAATTTGGCATCAAAAGTTTAGGTCAAAAAACTTTTTTTTTATTCCTACTTAATCATAATTTGCTGAATTAGCTTATTTATCGCATTTTGAGTACTTTCTTCCTCAAAAGACATTCGCTTATACCATTTTACCGTGTCCTAATGAGTGAATAATGCTAAAATCGTCGCGACTTTTATGAAGTCATTTTCGTATCAGATGTAAATACCTTATGTGAATTAATATAATAAAATTAAGATTTGATATGCATTTATGAACGCCGCAACAACGTTTGAGGTTCACCCATAACCGAGCCAGAAATGTAATCATGTTTGAAAAAGAATGACATGAAATAAAATTGAGCACCAATAAAACAATTCAATTTGGCATCAAAAGTTGAGGTCAAAGAACTTTTCCTACTTAATCATAATTTGCTGAATTAGCTTATTTATCGCATTTTTAGTACTTTTTTCCTCAAAAGACATTCACTTATACCATTTTCCGTGTCCTAATGACTGGATAATGCTAAAAGCGTCGCGACTTTTATGAAGTCATTTTCGTATCAGTTGTAAATACCTAATGTGAACTAATAGCAAAAATTAAGATTTAATATGCACTATAAATCACTATAAATTAGTTCTGAAATTTAGCGCATAAAGTATAGAAATTTTGGGGATTTCTAAAGCACAAACAACAACGGGGGTTTTAAAAGTCCATTATTGCTTTCTTTTCGTTTATTTCTATTTGTTCTATTGTCTTAGATTCTCCCCCTAAATTTCGTAATATTTCGAAGCCTTGTGTCCGAAGCTCTTAGCAACAAAGTTACACAATGCATTTCAAACGGATTGCACAACTAAAAAGACGCAACAACATTTTTCCTTTTTTTTTTTTTTTTTTTTTTTTTTTTTTTTTTTTTTAAGACTAGCAAATATTTCAGCTTCAAATGTATTACGTACAATGGTACATCGGTTTTCCGTTCTGAAATACGTCCAACTTGGTATATATCCTGGTTGACAACGAAAATGTTTGATTGGAATACTATACGAGTTCGATGAAATACGACTGCACGCCGTACCCTTCTTTACTTCTCTCGAGACAAAGCTACAGTCAAAGAACGTAAAGAAAGAAGGCTTGCATAGACGTCATGTAAGCCCTAGATGATATAGCCAGTTTGATTACTGCGTCGTTAAATCGTGGAGGGACAAATTCTCGTTGCAAATCGCCATTATAGGACATTTAAGAATACGGTACAAAACCAAAGAATTCATAAGATTCGTTCTTTAACAAAACATTTCACGATAGTTTAAGCTCGGATTTTCATAGATATTGTTACTCCAAATAAATAAATAATTAATTAATCTATTTGCAAGGATCACTGATTTCATTTAAGTCAGTACGGCAAGGGAAAAAATAATATTACAGAGCTTTGAACTCTTGACAAACATAACCTTCGACACCACCCCCCCACAAGTGTTTCATGCATGCACAAAAAAAGTATTAAGTCCGGATAGATAGTCCTCGTAAACTTGGAGTATATTTTTCCCTCTGCACTCTGACGGAGCCACTTCTTCTTTGGCAAATTTCGTTCTTAACAAACACGCTCTTTGCTTCAACTGCCTAAGAGCGTCAATACACTTGCTGCTACTATTCAGTAAACAATCCGCGCTTTGAATTTTCAAGTGGTTTTTCGTTTTTCACGCATAATTTTTGAAAATTAGCTAACAAGAAGTTTTTTTAAGTTAATAAGAAGAGTAAAGCAACGAAGAAAATTGTTGGTATCATCATAGAGGTGAAAAAGAAATTTTTGAAACGTATGAAGATGGCATGCATATCCGGGATTTGGCTATTTCATACTGTACACCAAGTTCGATGGTAAAAAACAAGGACACTGTTAAATTGGCGGACTTAGCGAAGGGGGCGAAATCGATTACCAAACAAAGATCAGAGACATTAGACCATGTCGAAAAATTGCTTCTGATCTGGATAGCAGGAAAAAAAAATTGCGTACAGTACTTGCAGTACTTCATTTATGTGCAGGATATATTTCACTCACTACATATGTATTTTAGCGTCAAACAATGTTATAATTACAACAACAGAATTCTTTTATAAGAATGGATTAATTATTTTCCCTTTATATCTTATTGAAAAAGTTCGTTTGGTGTACGCTCAAGGATCTGAAACGCATTAATGACGTTATTAATGAAGTACCGCTGTGTATTTGAAGCAACTTTTGTACTGAAAGGATTAATACTCTTTTCCCCAAAAATGAAACTAACAATGTACTTTTCTTTACTTATAACAGATTTTATTTTTATGTGTATAGTATGTGATATTAATATATAATATGTATATATTTTAATTTTTCAGACAAAGTTTTCATTTGTCCCGATACATTTGGTTCTTTGCCTTATGCAGATGATTGCTCTAAATATTATTCTTGCACATTTTTCATTCCATCTCTTAAAAGCTGTCCCAAAGGAGAACTTTTTGACGGTGTTAAGAAACAATGCAAGCCTGAAGGAGATGTTCATTGCGGTAACAGACCTCGACCAACAAGTAAATGGATTTTATTTATTTATTTTTTTTTTGTAAAAACTGATATCAGATATATTTTTTTCACTTCTTAGAAGGTAAAGAATTGCATTTTGCTGAAACAAAAATTATAGCTGGTTGCGATGCCTAACATTTTTTATTTACCTTCCATGCAAAGGTGTATAGTTATTTCTATTAAATAACATCAATCCGTTGACGATGAGGATGCTTCACAGTACCAGGAATGCAAGTTTACTCTAATGTTAATTTGACATGAAAATATAGTAACGTTTCTTTCTTTGCTTATAATTGTTTGAGAGTTTTAGTTAGTTTAGTCTGTGTGCTTATGACAGTTAAACGCCAAACAGTAAAACACGAAAAATTTTTTACATAAGCAGTATTATGTCATAAAATGTTATAAATAAACAATAGCAATAAAAAATAAAAAAAAAAAAAAAAAAAAAAAAAAAAAAAAAAAAAAACGATAAATTTTAAAATTACATTGCTTTTCGTCCCTCAAAAGAGACAAAGTAGGAAAGCTAATTGCCGTTGACTAACTCTATTTTCACCTGCGAGAGAAAGATACTTATTTTTTTGATTAATAGTTTACGGATAATATTTAAATAAATATTCTATTTAAGATTAGTAACGTCCTACGCATTCTTGCAACATGGTCAGCATATACAAGAAACTTGCATGAATTGCGTTTATAAATTTATCCTTTCTTCAAATTATAATCCATGGCGATACCTACGTATTCTCCCGTCGACCTTAAGCGCCGTTCCCACTGGGGTTTATCTGAGCTAACGGAGTCGGTTCCATGTGTCGACTATCTCCGCTGTGCCTGCAGTTCAGATATTTCAACTTGCTGCCCTATGGGGAAAAACTGGTTTTGGAGATGGGTCGACTACGTTAGCTGTGTTCATTAGCTCAGATAAACCCCAGTGGGAACGGCCCTTATTAAAGGTTGGTTACCATTAAACCATGAAAGTTGGCGAAGATCCCGCCATATTTGCGCAAATTGTTCCTGCGCAATTTTGAAGGAACTAGCCGCTTTTCATTTAATAAACAGTCACATATCAATTTTTATTTATTTATATAATTCCAATTCAGCACATTTAAAAAGCCTGATATAAATATTAATTCAAGCTTTAACTGACAAAGCAAATAAAACTAATGTCAGTTATTTCAGTAGCCAAAAATTTCAAATAGCATTTAAAATAGCAAAAAAAAAAAAAAAAAAAAAAAAAAAAAAAAAAAAAAAGTCAACTTCTGATTTTACCGGAAGCTCTGTTTAGAACGCTATGAGTAAACACTTATTGCAGGTAGTTGTTCCCCTCCATTACCGTTTTATAGAAGATACGTTGCTGCACATTACTCCTTTCAACAGATGTTAATTCTAGCTACCACTTATAAAAGGACCGGCAGTAATAAATATCATTCAATAGCTTTTAAACCATATTTTTTCGCATATGTAAGTATCATATCGTGTCCGTTAAAACACACTTTTCTTGATGGTAAGATCCCCTAACTTTGAAAATAACCTACTGCTTGCTGTGGCAGGCAAGTTCCAAATTTTAATCTACCCCCCCCAAAAAAAAACATATTGCAGGAAAAAGTACAAAAGTAAGGAAGGAACTTGAAGAAGCACTCCAGGGGTCTAGGCCTTTTCGCCGTCGCCATTTCACCGTGACCGTTTCGCCGTAGGGACATATTTATTTATCTTTACAGGACTACATTTTATCTTGCCGTATGATACAAGTATTAAATTTATTTAGTTTAATAATTCTGTTTACCTTTTATATACTTAATAAAGGTTGCTTTTAATATATAGTTATTTACAAATATGAGATATAAAGAAATTATAGTTGGAAAATTATGTCAGTATCAAAGAGAACTGGGACTAAACCTTTGATATAACAGAAGTTATACTATCAATTTTAAAATTATGCGGGTACAATACTTACATGATTCTTCAAAATTTCTTGAAATTTTAATCGTCTAGTTCAGAGAAATCACTCATACAAGCAACAAGCAAGAAATTCACGTTTTTATGAAAACTGAACCGAAAACGGAATTACTTTTGAATCTTGTCATCATCTTACTCTCTTAAAATTAAAATGTCATGTGCAACGGTGTATTTGTATAAAACGATATAAACTGTCTATTAAATTAAATTATTAAACTAAACAGTTATTAATTTAAATCAACTTAATATACACGGCAAGATATAAAACAGTCGTGTAAAGAAAAATATGTCTTGATGGCGAAACGGCCCAACGGCGAAATGCCCCGACGGCGAAACGGCCTCGTCGAAATGGCCACGGAGAAATGGCCATGGCGAATATCTTACCTGGAAATACAATGCAGTATAATTATCTCTGCTACCGTTACAGCTTATTGATTAGAGATAGCATACCCTTCAGGCCACTTTGTTAAGTAATCAGTGAGAACAAGATTGTATTGTTGCCATTAGCAGATCGTGGCAGAGGTTACAACGTGACGTTGACACTTTCCTCGAATGCTTTTCTTCGATTCTTTACCGCCCACATAGACATCTCAAGCTTGGTAGCACATTCGTAAGTCAGCCGTTGCTTTGCTCCAGTAGAACTCTCGAACTCTATGTAAAGTCATCATTATTCCGAAGGGGCCTTCTGTACGACTGCTATGTAGTTCTGTAAGGACGTTCGGGATCCTGTTTCTAGAAGGTATCAATTACCAAAGGAATGCCTTTCCATCATCCTATTCGAACTTTGGATACAAGGCACCGTTTCGGGGTGAGTCCCAGATATACGATGAGCGCCAGTATGCAGTGAGCTCAGTATTGTTTTGTTGTAGATTATAGACCGAAATATCCTGCCAGTAGGTTTCTTATTTGAAGACTTCATTAGAGAAATTGTGGGTTTAATGTCCCAATGTTGCAACCAGTTTACCCTAATTTCTTCTTCATTCCACTAGTGTGGGTCAAACGATGTTGAAGTTCTAATTTGTTGTGTGACCAAATTAAGCATCTCGTATTTCGCTTCCACCCTGGAACAATATCGGCAGCTTTCTGGGCAGGATCTTCTAGACAGGGCTTCGGCGTTTGCGTCTGATGATCCTTTCCGATGACGGATAGTGATATCATATTTCTGAAGTATCTGTATCCATTTGACTATTTGGCTTTCTGGCTTCTTGAAATTTAAAAACCAGGTCAAAGAAGCATGATCTATGTGGAGCAGGAATTTTCTGCCGTACAGGTAATGATGGAAATGTTCTACAGCTTTAAATATGGTGAGCAACTCTTTCCTGTTGTCACAGTAATTCCTGTCTGGTTTAGAGAAACACTTGCCACATGTTCTTGAGCGTTTATTTCTTGGGGAAAACAGCATCAACATAGTCATTACTCGCATCTGTGTCAAAAATAAATGGTTGTCGAGATGAAGATATATTAGATTTGTCTCAAATGTTAAAGCCTCTTTCACTTCACAAATGCATCTTCACATTCTGTTGTCCACAAGAACCTTTGCTCGCTCTCTGTCAGTTTGTGCTAAGAGTCTTGCAATAGAACAAAAGGTTATTCACAAATCTCCTGTAGTAGATGTAAGGCCCAAGGATACTTCTCAGCTGATTGACGTTTTCGGAGGGCATAACATGTCCAAGGTAAGTCACTTCCAGTCTGACACAATTCATATCTGGCACGACTTAAATTTAAAATGGTTCCCTTTAGTTTCTGAAACACCTTCCTAATATTTTATGAATGTCCTACAACACGTTTCGCGACGATGGCGATGCAATCCAAGTATATCAGATAGTCTTCCTAGGAAAGACCTCTCAACACGGTCTCCATGAGGCATTCGAATGTTGCCGGCACATTACATAATCCAAACGTCATAGCCTTGAACTGTCCTCTAGTAAATGCCGTCTTTTCTTGGTCTTCAGGATGTTTCTCCACTAGCCAATACTCACACTTTAATTCGATCGTTGAAAACCACTTGCTTCCAGAACAAATGCTCAGAATGACTCAGTTCTGGGAAAAGGGTATCTGTCTACGTTCTTGACGTCGTTCAACCGATGATAGTCAACAAAAAGTCTAGTTGAACCATTTTTTCTACACCAGGACCATGGGAGAAGTCGGAAAACCTGCTGAAGGCCTTGACTGACCTGTTTGCAATCGATAGACGTCTTGAATATTGCTTTATTGGTTTACATCACTCGTATCAGTCTTGTGCTGCGCCAAACTGGTTCGACACCCATCAGAAGATGTGCGGGAGAAAACATCTTGAAATTCTTGAATGACACGTTCTGTAGCATTCCTCTATCTTTGTTGTGCATGCTGCAACAACTTCGGTATTAGGCTTTTAGAAGACACAGAGACAGGAGGTCTGCTGGTTTCTTAAATGCATGGCATTGGAGTACATCCTGCAACAACTTCACCTTCCAAATGACTTATCACTTCTTATCACTTACGTTGACAGTTCTTACCGAGATGAAAGTCCTCGATAGGTTGACGACTTCGGAGGCTACTAATACTCCTTTTATGTTGTTCTTAATATATTCCATGATGCCGTACATAAAGTTTATGCTTTCAGCTACGGATGCAGTTAGTAAAAATTATGTTTTTGCTAGTACTGTAATAGTCTTGAGCTGTTATTTGGTAGATGTATTTAACTCCTTCATCTTTAATTCCGAAAAGGGTTATGTCCCCAGAGGCACACTGCATTTAGTTATTTTTAAAGTCCAACAAAAAAATTGCATTTCCTAGGAAGTCTAATCTGAGTATGCAAGAGACTGTAATATTTTTCACATATGGTGTGGGAAGGTATTCGATACTTTCAAACGTGACGTTAACGTTTAACTTCCCATCGATTTCAATTCAATCCCCAGACATTGTCTGGAGGGTAAAGCAAGGCGGCGCCCAGATGACTTTACTTTCCAGTTGCTAAGCGACATCTTTTCGTATCATAGTAACATTCTCTTGCATCGATGGCCATATTACAAGGAATTCTATTGTTATGTCTATAATGAAGAGTCAATGACTACTGCCACTCATTGTAGAAATCTGAAACCCTTTGAAATGGGGTTTCTCAGTATCTGGAAGCCCCCTTCCAGCGAGATGACCACTAATCTTTTTCCTGTCTGTTTGTTCAGGAGCGGTTTTAACTTCTGTGCCTTGGGGTTTTCTTTGTACATGGCCTCCATCATTGCAGTTCCAGCACCTTACCATCCCTCTGTTGCCACTCCTATTCCGCATTGACGTGTTTTGTTAAATCGTCTAAACGAGCAGTCAGTTGATTCACTGGCTGGTACATGAGCAGTTCTGACTGGATGGCGGAGTCTACGGGTTGCTTGCTGAGCTGCCTCGAATTACACGCCGTACACTAAAGTGCTTTTAGATCCTTGACATCCGATATTCGTAGTGATTTCTGTATCTCAGTATCCGGATGCTATTGATGAAGTACTGGAGGATTAGGGTTTGTTTCTGGTGGGCAGTCAGAAAAGAAGAGATGAAACAGTCTTTCAACATCCGTGGCGAGTTCCTGAAGTGTTTATGTGGGCTTCTATTGACGAGACTTTAACTGGAGCGCGCTATAGTCTTTTAAACAATTTTTACCAAAGTGCTAAAGGTTATCCTAAGTCTGAAGGATATCCGCTGAGTCTTCTCTCATATAAGCGACGAGATGACAGGCTTTAGCTTCGGAATTCTATTCATTTGCGTTTGCCACTAAAGAGAACTGAGCCTTGGACACTTATAAAGCGGTGTTTCCAACATACGTCGATAGCTTTATTGAGGGTCGGTAAGACAGAGGTACGAATTTAAAGGCATCAGAAGTGTGTCCAGCTATCCCTGTGGATTTCTTTAAGCTATCAACTTCCTTGGAAGCAACAGTTGAACTCTGTCTTCAGTTTCTTGTTTGACAATAGAAACTCTTTATTCGTTTAGTTGTTAGACAGCAGAAATGCATTCTTCAATTTCTCCAAGTTTTTCTTCAACCGTGTCTATTCCGCTTTCCATAACCTCAGTCTTGTTTTCTATTATGGCAGTAATTTCTCTTTCCATTTCCTCCTGACCTGCTTCAATCGATTCTTGGCCGGCTTTCATCTTTTCTGAAAAATTTATATTTCTTCTTTAACGGCTTCTTGGCGGGCATGCGCCTTTTCTTCAACAGCTTACACGTCTATTTTAACACATGTTTCGCCCGCTTTTATATTTTCCTTAAAATACAGAAAAGACTGTCAACAGTTGCCTTAGTTGTTCATCCGTCGCTCTTGTCACCAGCATTCAGTCGCAGTTCTGACACCAAAAATTGGTACTTGCGTACGGGTTTCTAACGGAATGAATGCACACAGAAGCGATGACAGCTTGATAAAATTTATTTTCCCCAAAACAACCCTTTACAGTTCTAGAATTTTTCACAAAAGTACTTCTGCAGCTCTTCTTAGTATCACAGAGCAAAATCAATAGTTACCATTTCAAACTACTTAAGACGTTAAACACAAAATATGTAAAAACTCAGTACGTAATCTCGCATTCAGTCAGTGATTTCTCAGTACTCTTAACACTCTGAGTTAAACTCTGAAGTAAACTGATGCTGAATCCAGGTTTATATAGTATTCCCCCCGGTCGCCGAGAAATTTCCATCACTTTCTCGATATTGCTGGAAGACATAAATAGTTACATATATAGGACCAGATACAGTTACAGTTATATATGCAGATTAGACCAATTACAGTCATATATGGATCGGATCAAAATGTCGCCAAAGCCACTGAGGTAATGGACTTGTCTCTGCAACATTATTACTTTTTCGGCGGAGTTCCACATTTTTGAAGCATTTCATACATGCGAACTTCTATTTTACATATAAGTTTACTGAACGTATTTACATATTTATGTAAAATTCATAACAGTTCTTTTAGTTTTATGCCTACATTTGAAATTAAAGATAAAAAAATATGGAAATATGAAACAAATATTTTGTTTTCCTTACCGAAATCACGCTTTTTACATTGTTAAAAAAATACTCAGGTTCAATAAGTTAAAGAAATCCAAATTTTCATCACAGTTAAAGGTATTTCAAAACGGCGAGGCAGTTACACTGAGTACAGGCTCGGTCCAAAGTATTAGATATTCTATAATAGTAAATTTATTTTGAAACAGTTTTAAGATATATAAAAACTAAACAGTTTAACATTGATTATAAGCAGTATTCATTCACAGTTTTAATATTTCGTATTTCCATATTTAGCTTTATTTACAGCAAAAGTTTTCAGAAATTTATGACGCTCTGCTGCATTTATGCCATTTCAGATACATTCAGCAGAATTTATGTCATTTCAAAATTTAGGACAAAAGCACACTTTAAAAGCAGAATTTATGCCAAAGGCACACTTTGGATGTTATTGAGCATAAGCATAGCTTAAAAGAGCCCATAGATGATTACTGGGCATAAGCATAGCTTAAAAGAGCCCATAGATGATTACTGGGCATAAGCATAGCTTAAAACATCCCCTTTTGCTTTAAAAGATCGGACAGATGTTCTATATCGGGTTAAGAACTAAAGACTGTGATGGCCAGTCTAAAACATAAATTAATATAAAGAATCCACAGCACTGAAGTCATCGATTTGTGGCACAGATTTTTGAAATTTTATGCCATTCATATCACAAAATAATTTACAAAAAGATGATTCTAGATTCTTTTAGAGAGTACTGTTATATTTTTGGCTATTCATATCAATTTCAGATATATACGTTTTATTTATATCACTACTTGCCATGCATCTCCAGATCCTAATATTGCCTCTTCTGGCTCACCAGCGACCGAACGGTAAAGTCGCTGACAATTGGTAATTCCTCCCTGGGCTCGATTCCAAGTGAAAGGGCTGGCTGAATGGACGTTTTCGCGGTTTTCCCCATATGTAACGTTTATATGAGCCAAATGTCCGTTAGAAAACGTCCTCTACGAAGGCATTCCTCTCCTTAGGAAGGTAGCACTCGCATGCTTTGCCATAATTAAAAAGAATAAATCAAAACGCAACCAACTTTTTCATATTTACAATGAGCACTACCCACTCTGTGTTGTATTCCTTTCATTCTTTCTCTTTCACAAAGGATGTACCGGGTGAAGAAAATTCCTAAAAATGAAGAGAAAAATAATTATGCTTTTTTAAGAGACTAGTTTGTAACCAAAAATATATTAACAATTTCGAAAGAATAGTTTTGTGAAGCAAAGCAAAGCTTATCTAAAAGTTTGATTCATCATAAAGGGAAATATTTGACCATTCTTCCTCTGTAAACTGTTTGTGCAATAAAGCCTATTTTAATTTAAATTTATGCTTTGTCTTTTTCCGAGAGCCAGAGGTTTCTCCTAACTTTGAGACCTTTCAAACCTATTTTCACAAGTCTTCTTCTCACAATTCTAGCACTATTTGGGCTCCCATTATCTTCTCAGAGTAACTCTGCAGGAAGCTCGCGACATTTGTTTTTTCTTTTCAATTTGTTATAGATTTTCGAATGAAAGTTTTAGCATCATATTTGGTGTTACTTTTTTCTCCCTATTCAAGTGTGAAAGTATTTTTTTTTTTTTTTTTTTTTTTTATGTTCCAGAGTACTACAGCGCATCGTAAGCAGTTAAGATTTTTGGTAATCTCAAATTGAGATTTTCTTTGCTCATCTAGCAAAAGATTTGATCTGAACATTAAGTTCTTTACGTTTCGTTATTTTCTGCAAGAATCACTCTAATTTTCAGAACTATGAATTAGCACAACAAATTAAACTTCCAGCAAAACAAAGTAACTTGGAAAACTCGTTTTGGTTTTTAAAAACTGATGTAAATGAATGAAAAGTTGAGCTCTTTGTTTCCTTTTATTTTTTACAAATTTTAATAACTTTAAAAAGAAATTCATAATTGCATGTGGATGACGAAGTTTTTTAACTGACTACTTTTAAAGATAGCTTAAGATATCGGCATATTTAATGCCTTTGGCCGACCCTCCATGTCGCGAAGGAAGCATGAATCGAAAAACTATCATTTCTAACTAGCAAATATTCATTAATACATCCACAAAAAAGAACAATATTTTTTAAACAAGAAATAATTTAAATTTACGTATAAGAAAATATAATCAGACCAGACGCGTGATAAATGCATTGCGTGAAACAAAGCAATTTTTCAAGTTGTTTTAACTGATGAGAATTAAGGCTTACACACAACTTCTCAATTTTGTGGCTTGGCATAGAATTAAGGCTTGACAAGAACTGAGGCTTACATAGTCCCTCAATTTTTTGGCATGATGTGGATTTGAGTTTATTAAACATATATATATATATTACTAAAGGCTTCTACTTCTATCAGAAAGCGTATTTCTCAAAAATTCTTCCTGAATATTTAAAATGACTTCTACTCTTTTTACGGAGAACGATAATTCAGCATATTATAAATTGTATTTTTTATACTCTCAATTAAGCTCAATTCAAAATACTAAAAAAGTATTAGAAGTTTTCCATATTTAACGAGAAACTTATTTTCATATTTCTAGGCGACACATTTGATCTTACTTCACCTGTAATAGCTCCTACAACAACAACTGCAGTTACGGCTACAAATAATGATGGAGTATCTGGAACAACTCCTACAGTATCTGGCACAGTTTCAGTTAGAGATGAAGTATCTGAATCAACCACTGCGACATATGGCACTGTTACGGTCGGCGATAAAGATGAATCATCTAGATCAACTCCAGCAACATCTGGTACTGCAACTGTCAGTGATAAAGTTGAAGCATCTGAATCTTCTATACCTGCAACTTCTGCATCGCCTGTGATAAGTACCATTGTGGAGAAAGATAAATCCACTCAATCGATTGTAACAGGTAGCAACAAAATAACAGATGGTCAGTGGACTTACAGTGAAATTTCTGTCAGTCAGGAAGCGACAACTGCATCAGTCAGTACAACTGAAAGCTCGTCCATAATTCCTTCTATAACTCCGGAAGAAAAAATATCTCCAACCACACCTAGGCCCACAGGACCGCCAGACACGGATTGCGACGAAGACGATCTTGATTGCATAATAACAGAAACAGGAGATGTATCCAAGTGGTTTACATGCCCAGAAGCTATAGGTTATTATCCACATCCAAGTAGTAACAAATTATTTATCTTTTGTTTGAACTGGCAACCGTCCGCGAAAAAGTGTGCACATGGTCTTTTATTTTTCAAAGAACTTCGTACATGCGCGGAACCAGAAAGTTTAGGAGAACAGTAAAAATATAAGAAATCTTAATTGAATCGATAAATACAAATAAAAAAGTATCATTGCTTTGATTTTAATGTGCGGCTTAGTTTATTTAAGAATTTAATCAGCTAAATGTTTATCACATCGCCTTTGAAAATATCTTTTCTCGTTATAAAGGTTAAAGCCTACAGCCTTAGTTGAACACTGTATGTTTTGGGTGAATTAATAACTAAATGCACTCTAAATATCTAAATGCTTGCACTTTCAGGAAAAATAGGAAAGATTTAAAAAGCGTACTTAGAGACAGAGATCATATTAAAAACATTCCCAGCTTAATCAGCAACTCTGGAATCAAAGCACTGCCAGATGTTGTGTCTTTAAAAAAAATTGTAATTAAAAGTTCAGTTAAGCATACTCGGGAACTGCCCATTTTTAGAGTAGTGTTTAAATGACTATTTAGTTTAAAGTACATTTGTATAGCGCTCTACATTTATATTTGATCTTGAATTTTGGATTTGCATATAATATTTCTAGACGAATTTGTTTTTTTTTTTTTTTTTCGATTGATCATTTTACATAATGTCAAGTTTTTTTTTTTTTTTTTTTTTTTTGTGTGTGTGTGTGTGTGTGTGTGTGTGTATGTAGAGTCAGTTTGAAACAATGTTATGTTTTATTCTTTTTTCCAAGTGTTTCGAAGGTGTGTAGGGAAAATCCCGATACATTTGAGATTCAATTTTTTCGGTTTTATATGAATTTTAATGTAATGAAAATTTGTTTCTTTTTTCGGTTTTTGATCTCAAATACCCCAGGAGAAAGAAACACGTTTTCGAAGCATATTAATCAACTTTTATGAAGTTGATTTCGAATTCGATTCGATTATGTTTTCGAAGTATATTCATTTTCCCATGATGAGTTCTGAATTGGAGTTTCAGTAAAAGGAGATTAATTTTTATATTTTTATATCATGTATATAAGTGGTAGAAAGTATTTTCAAGAGTGAAAAGCATTTCATTCTAAAAATTCGTAACATCAAATTGGTGCTCACTAGATGCTGCGCTCGGGAAGAAATGTCCCCCTTACCCTCTTTCTGTCCTCTGTGGTGCACTTACTGACTTAGTATCATACTTTGGCAGTAGGTATAGGTATAGGTAACGGGGAGCACGGGCACTGTCCCTTTACCATAATGGTTAATCGGTATTGCACCGTGCCCACCACTGTCTAGACCCAATGTGTAGGAGCCACATTTGCGCCCAGAACCAAAAGCCGAGGCCCAACGCTCGGACCATCCAGAGGGCAGTCAAACTGACCAAAAGCGCCCTCCACACAACGCTCACCCAACCGTCCAGGCATTAGTACATATGATAGCAAATACTGAGATTCTCTGACGATTATAATACAATGTGCAATTGGTACATAATGAAATTGCAATTATAAATATACTGCATAATATAAGTCCAATAGTGCAATATCAATGTAAAAAGTAAGATATAATTACAAATGCAAATATTTCGTGAACCATAAGTGCAAAATAATAGTAAGTTAAAGGACTACTGCTTCAAATATTAGTACATATGATAACAATACTGAAATTCTCTCACAATTATAATACAATGATCAATTGGTACATAATGAGATTGTAAATATAAATAGACTGTATAATACAATACAAGTCCAACAGTACAATATAATGCAAACACGAGTATGTAATTACAAATGTTAATATTTCATGAACCATCAGTGCAAAACAATACTAAGTTAAAGGACTATGCATATCAATGCAAAACATAAAGAGTAGTAGTATACAATGTTAGATATAGATATACTATACAAAAGAAAGTCATATTCTTACAACAGAATGGTATTGCAATTTAAATACCAACAGTATTAATATATAATTATAATAATAAACTCAAATAAAAATCCGAACATATGACCAATACAAAAGCAAAACTGTTATTCTTAAAATATCTATGCAATGCATATTCAAATACAGTCAGTAGTAGATATATACTGATATAATTATAAATGCATAACAAGTTAAAGACATATCGAGAAAACAACCCAATACAATCGATAAGATCTATACAATACAAATTCAAATACTAAAATAATCCAGATACTAATAGAAAAGTAAAAGCATATATCAAATGGTACTTCTAACAAAGATAAATAATATATATATATATATATATATATAACATTCTTATTGAACAAACATTCTTATTGAACACGCAGAAATAGTATATATATATATATATATATATATATATATAAACATTTTTACTGTACAAAATTCAACGAAGATTCAATGAGACAAATACCAATCCAAGCATGTGATAAGTTGACATATGAGAATAGTACAATAGATTAACACTAACATGTATGCGTACAATATACTAAAATTGTAAATTATGTTACCAAGCACAAGTCAGTACCATAGGAATGAAGTATTTCCATAATTTTGATCAGTTTTTTAACTAAGTATTTTTGTTTAATTAAAAACTTACAAAATGCACGAGTGTTAGTATTTGGTATGGGAATGTGATAATCTTGTGTAATAGGACACTGAGTCACATAATGTTCAGGATTTCCAAGTTCACCACATACACACATATCAGTATTTGAAATCCCATGTCGATAATAGTAAACTGGATAGGGTCCATGCCCTGTAATATAACGTATCAAATGATGATTGGTAACCTGTCTATGTATATCAACATATGAAATATGAAAATAAGTACGACGACCTGTGTCGGAGTCATCCCAGTTTGTTTGCCACGCAGAAATAGTCTTGAGTAAAATTTCCCTTTTAAAATACGAAATTGGCCATTTTACCATTAGGTTTTCAATTTCACCAATATGATCAATATTTTTTGGGCAGCTATTTTTGCAAACAAGTCTGCTTGGATATTGCCAATGTTATCTACATGACCTTTTGTCCAGGCCATCAGTATTTTTGAATTTCCGGACATGTGCAATTCCTGCTGAATGGCAGAGATAATAGGCGAAGAATGCCTTGGATTTTTAATTGCAAAAAGAGATGAAAGGCTATCCGTTATTATTATACCTTCCATCTCGCCGGTTTGTTTAAAATATTGAACAGCTTTAAGAATAGCCGTCGCTTCTGCTTGAAAAACGCTGTTTTCAGCAGTAAGATGTCCTAACCATTTAAATATTTGGTCTTCATTGTGATAAGCCACAAGGGCACAACCAGTTTGTTGCTCAATTTTCGAACCATCAGTGAATATCTGTAAGTGAGGTAGTTGTGGCAAATTGTCACATTTCAAAAAGACATTGAGTCCATATCCTTGTTGAGCAGGATGTTTATCCAAATGCTGTGTTTGCTTTTCATAGTTGGTTGGAAGAAATATGTCATCATGAAAATTTACAGATTGCTGCAATTGGCGAACTGTTTGATAAGCTGCCTCCTGTAGAGTGCGTAGAGGTAATGGAATAATGCCTGCAAGCACAGTCAAGGCATTAGAAGAAGTTGTACAAAAAGCGCGGGTAATCTGTAATACAAAGGGTCGTTGTAAGCTTTGCAATAGTCTGGCCTTACGACCCTGCATAGGGTCGGCCCAGACTGCAGCTGCATATATAACCATCTTCTCGATTACAGTTTGATATAATATTTTTTGTATGTACGGACTAATACCCCAATTGTGTCCATACATACGGCGAAGATTAGTTGCAATGATAGTTGTTCTTCTTTTCAATTCCTGCAGATGCAAAATCCAATTTAATTTCTCATCAAATACTATACCGAGAAATTTGAGCTGCCTTTTAATACCAATTCTGGTACCATTTATTGTAATTCTCGGTCGTCGATTTAAAGATTTTCCTTTCTTTGGGACAAGGAGAATGGTTGACTTTGAAGAGGAAATTGTAAGTTTGATATTATTACATAACTCATAAAAAAGATTACAAGTTTCTGTGGAGTTAATTTGCAGTTCATCTCTTGTTCGCCCTGTGACAACAAAAGCTGTGTCATCAGCATAAGCATATAAAACGGGTATGTGCTGGCCAAGTGGAGGATAGAACATAATTAAATGTTACATTCCACAAATCAGGGCCAGCACAGGAACCCTGGGGACAGCCACGATTTTGTATCTTGGTTATTACTTCCCGGTTGGTTAAATACATTAATTTTCGTTCAGATAGATAACTTCTAAATACCAAGAATATATTCTTAGGGCAATGAGCTTTTCTTAATGATTCCAGAATTGCTGGCCACCACAGCGTATCAAAAGCATTTTGAAGATCAATACTAATGAAAGCGCTGTGGTGATCACTGATTCTATTAGATTGCAAATCATTAACAATCTTTGACAATACCTGAACAGTGGATCTACCAGGTCGAAAACCAAACTGATTATCAGACAAAAAGTTTTGCACATGCAAATGATGTTTTAAGCGTAAAACAATTATTCTCTCATATACCTTACCCAATGCAGAGAGTAAGCATATGGGTCTGTATGATGCAGGATTATGTGGGTCTCGACCCTGTTTTAGGAATAAGACCACTCTGCCAATTTTAAAAGCCCTAGGAAAAAGTCCTAAATGGAAAAGTTTGTTGAAGAAGTCCTTGAAGAAATAAGGATGAGAATTAATAGTTGCTCGGATGATAACATAATCAATTCCATCTGGCCCTGGCGCCCGTTTTTTTAGGAAGATTTCGTATTGTAGTTTTAATTTCGTCTAAAGTTATATCTTGATCGTCTGCAGTATCAGGAACTGTTAAGTTATTTCTAATTTCTGTCTGGAACTGAGAATCTGTGGAAGGATCATCAGATGGAAACACGGTGGTTAAAATTGATTCTATTGTGTCTTGTGTTGGGTGCTCAGTCGAAGTAGAAGATGCTATTAGATGAGTTTGCGAAGGTTGAAAAATTTTTGTCCTTGCAATTTTGTAAGGAAGTCCATATGGATCATGATTTTGAGTGCAATATTGCTTCCATGCTGTTAATTTAGATTGAATAATCATGCGTTTATAAATTGCTTTTTCTGTTTGATAATGTTGCAAAGTATTTGAGGTGATACCATTTCGACGGTCAGATTTTAATTTTCTTCTAAGCGCTCGACATTTCTGTTGTTG